ACAAAAAAATTTCAAACAAATTTATTTATAAAACTAGTAGCAAAAATATAAGGTTATTCCTTTATTCGGGCGAGGGAAATATATATTAAATATATTTATAGTACTATTATATACAGAACCTTAATATTCTACTTACCGATGAAAATTTATAGGAAATTATAAAGAATAATAATTAAATTAAGGAAATATTAAATTAAATACTTAAAAATTATCGCCAAGGCGTATAAAGCTATATTAATATAAAATTTAAAGATAGAAACCTTTTATTTACTACTCAACCTTTATTTTAATAAAAGGATCCGAACTTTCGAAGAGAGGTTCGCTAGAATAAGTTAAATTAAATTCGTCCGGGGGACTATAACTTAAATTACTAATTATATTTAAACTTAATAGATTAAAAGTTAATTATTTACTAATAAACTAAAAAATAATATAATTAAAGTTCAGTGGGCCGAAATATAGATACTAATAAAGAAATTATTAGTAATAGTAATTAATCCCCCCTCGGAGCTAAAGATTTAATTACTATTATCATAAATCCTAAAACTAATAACCGCTAATTAAAAGGAATAATTAGAAGATACAACGAATTAAGAATAAATATTGTACTATAATCACTATTTAGCGATAGCAGTAACTAAATTAAATCGGCGGTATAAACTTACTATTATTGACTTTACCATTAAATTTCGCGGAGAAGCTATTTGATGATATATAATTAATATGAAAAAAAAGAAAGGGAGATAATAAACGTTGGAGGATAAAGATAATAAATTATACTTATTAATTAAAGTAAAAAACTCCCTCCTAATTTAAATTAGGATAGAATTATTAACCTTCAAACTTTCTTCTATTAGAGGAAAATACCGGACGTTTTAATATTTATTTATACGTACAGGTTTAAAAAGGAGATTTTTATTTATATAATTTTAAATTAGTTTAATACGGATATTTTCTTTTAATCGGACCCCGAAAATTAATTATTAATAAAAGAAAAATTCTACAAATATTTAAACAATGGAATTAAAATTAAGAAGATTCTTTCTTAAATATTAAAATCAAGAAGGTTAAAAGAATACTATTTAATAATTAAATTAAAAGAGGAGTAGTACAAGGAAATTACAAAATATTCTTAGAAAGGGAATAAAATATCGGTAATATTAGAATAATAAAATATAGGGATAATGAGGTGATAATTATATTAACTATAAGTACTATTTAAATTATAATTATAATAAGGACCGAAGTATTACCTAATAAAGCGTTTAATTACGCTTAAAGAATTATTCGAATAGTATTATTATATAAATTTAATTCGTAGTAATTTTATAGTACTATTAAATCTAATCCTTATTTAAGGTATAACGGCCGGGGGTATCGACGGTTATTAGATTACTAAGAGTAGAATTATTATTACTAGTACCGGAAATTATATAAGTAAAAGTAGTAATAATATTACTATTAGATAAAATATATATAGGAATAATAGTACCGCTATTAGAACTAGAAATAATCCGGACCGGGTTTATAGTACTACTACTAAAATAGGAGGGGGTATAGCCATAATGGATATCCCTTATAATTAATTTATAGTAACCCTTCTATAAAAAATTAGTAATATTAGAATATAGAGGGCGGAAAAGAGTACGAATATTAGTAGGAAGGTTATTATATTTTAGGTGTGTATATATATAATTAGTAAAATTATTAATAGTATAAACGAAGGATTCGAGTTTTTAAATGAAATTAAATTAATTACCTAATAATATAATAATAATTATTGCCTAAATAGTATTATAAGTATTATAAAAGTTAGTAGGAACGTTTAATATATATTTATTAGTAGTATAAATATAAGTTGCGTTCTAAAAGCCGGTAATTATAATACGGGAATTGAATAATAATAAAGAAAGGAATAGGAAGATGAAGAATCTATTGAATATTGAAATATAATAGATTTTATTAATAATAATTGTATAGAAGGCGTTGGAGGAGGTAAATTTATTGCCGGTTTTTAGGTAGGTAATTAAATTCAAAGTGTAGTATAGGTAAGGAATTTTATAAATGATATTAATCGGGTTAATATATAAATTAGAAGGATAGGGAGGAACGTATATTAATTTTAAGGAATTACGAGGTTAGGAAAATTATAAAAGAAGCGGACGAAGGTTCTAGATTCTAAATATATTAGAAATATAAGGTTAGGGAATAATTTAAAGGAAGAGACTTCTATGTTGGAGGTTAAGTTGATCGGGCTAGGGCAATAATAATTAAAGGAAATTATTTTAAATAAAAATTATAATAGGGAAGAAGCAGGATAGGAATTAGGAAGGGGCGCTGTAGGGAGGATTATATAGAAGAAGGAGAAGGCTTTTATAGTATTATAAATAAAGGTAGAACCGCGGAGTAGGAAGTAAAGGGCTAGGGCGGAGGTATTTATAAACGGAATAAAGAGGCGAGGAAGTAAAATAATAAACGGGAAAATAGGATAGGGTAGTAAGGAGAAGGCGGAGAAAGGGGCGGTAAATATTAGAACGGAAGGATAGTAAAGGGAAGTAGCACTCTAAATTTAGATTTTATTCCTATTATTCTTATTATTCTAGTATTAGAATAATATAGCGGTAGAAGAGATAAAATTAATTCGCTATAGCAGTAGGTAAGAACCGTTATAGCTATACGTAAAGTAAGAGCGGCGTAAAATCTACGACCGAAATATAGTTAGGGGTTTTTATCCGGTAGCGCTTAACGCCGTACGGTTTTCCCCTCTAGGGAACTAGAGAAGGACCCTATGCCAAGATGGCACTATAGTTATATAGTATAGGGAATAAGATTATTATTGTAGTTAAAATAGTACTTAGTATAGTAACTACCCTACTTAATTTTACAAGGGAGTAGATTATTCGTAATCTAATTAATAATAGCTTTTTAGGTATCCCTAAATTAACAATACAGAAATAATAAGGCGCTTTCAAACTCTACTATTAATAGGGTGTAAATTATGTATTATTATATATAAAAGAACCTTACTCCTATATTGGTAATTTTATTAGGAAGCGGATTAAGTTTAATCTACGTTCTAGTAATTATTTTAACCTTTTATATATATAGTATAGTCAATTAAGGTTATTTTAATTATTTTAGTTAATTAGCTCTCGATATAACCACTGTATATATCAGGTTGAATTATTAGAATTATTATTACTATGCTCCTCCTTTTTAAACTCTTTATTACTTTCCCTATTATTTTTATTTTATTCATTATTAGGTTCTATACGCTCCTAGTTATCTTTAAGGTATTTAACTACGTTATAATTGATATGCTATATATAATATTAATATTGAACGGTTAGGAAGATTCGATTAATAGCTCTAAGAAATTACTTGTTATCATTAGTAATAATAATTAATAGTTTAGGGATTGATAATTCTTCTATTGTTTTTTTGATATTTTTAATAAGTTAGTTAAATCCCTTATCCTTCTTATTATTAATGATTATTTGAAAGACTAGTATAAACGACTTTTTAGGAGTGATTATAATACTTTGTACGATTAGTATATAGTAATGGTTCGTTTTATACGTAGTATTAAGTAGTAAGGTATATAGATATCGTTTCTATATTTTTCTTTATTTCCTTAAATACTAGAGACCGTGCTGCAATATATTTAGTTCTTCCTCTTATTAGCCTTTATTATCCTTATAGTAATTAAAGAGGTAGTATTGGAGTATAATAAGCCTATTATTCTCGAGATTGCGTACGAATGTTTGTATATCCGTATAACCCCTATTATTTTATTAGCGTATCCTTTATTGTATATTCTCAAGGTCCTTATACGTAAGTAGTAGCTTAGGGTAACGCTCGTTGATAATTGTATATATAGTACGTATAGATAATTCCTATTAGCGAAGGAGATTTGTAATATCCTTATAATTATTAGTATTTAAAGACTATTATTTAAAGATTAAGTGGTTTAGGAAGTTTCGTAATGGAGGGTGGCCTTTGTGTGTACGATTGAGTGCTTTAATAGTATATTTATAATTATTCTTCTTTAAGTATTGTATTATAACGTGGAAGGGATATTTGTTAGTAATTTTTCGAATAGTTATATGTTATTTCTTATAAGGATTAACATTTATATTAAGTATAAGTTTAGTGTAGTTGTATTGAAAGATTTGACGGTAGAGTGTATTAGTATATAGTCCTTTAATGAAATAATTGGTACGAAGTATAAATACTTTAAATTTATATTGATAATATATTTCGATAACCTCCCTTATTATAATTTAAAGTTGATAGGTAGTAGAGTAAAGGCGCTATTGTTAGAAGGGATAGTCTATTTAGCGTTGCTATTGAAAGAAGTATGATTGTTTGCGAAAGTAGATGATAAAGAAATTAAATTATAATGATAGCGAGGTTGCGCCGAGGGGGGGGGGGGGTATTTTGGGAAGTTCGAAACGATATTTATTAATTATTGATAATTGTACACAGTTAATACTATTTATAAACGATTAAAAGCGATTAATTTGAGTGAGATTACATACGTTGAGGGTGTTGTGTTATAGTGTTGTTAATAGTAGTGTTGCGTTGCGATGTGCGATAGCTAGCGGTGTAAAATGTGTGTAATTGATTGTGTGAAAAAGCGCGAAAGAAATAACTAAGTTAGAGCGATGTTGCGTGTATTAAAAAGACGAAATTTAGCGGGTAAAAACGGGATTTACAATGTTAGGTGTTATCGGCTGTCTGGGCCTACTATTTTGGGTTTTTGGGTATATGTAGGGAATGGGGTGGGTGTGCGGAGGGTTACTCTTTAGTAGGGTCCGTAAACAAAGAAGTAGTAATACGCAATTAAATATACTTCACTGAAAACTGTATAAATAGCCGCGTAATTGTTTGAAAGTTTAAAATTAATAGATATCAATAATTCCGGATAATTCCTAGTATTGCACGATAGTTGCAGCGATGAAAAAGTATTAGTATTAATAAAAAGAGATTTGTATTAATTAAAGGGAAAGCCTCCCCGCACCCTGTCGAATCCTACACGTACCCTCCCCCACAAAGAAAAGTGGGACTACAGCTGCATAATACCTGACATTGAAATTCCGGTTTTTGCCCGCTAAATTCAATCTTTCAAATACACACAACATCCCCTCTAACTTAATCGTTTCTTTCACTCTTTTTCACACGGCCATTTACACACAACACACACACCTCAACGCTACAACGCAGCACAACACACGCACTCCCTTAATTTATTAACAACCCTTTTAACATATATAATCTTACTTAAATTAATTAATTTTAATTACTTTTAATTATCAACGAACGCTCTAAATACTACTTAAAACCCCCTTATTAATATAACCCCTTTCCCTAGTACAACCTTATTATTACTACTATTATTGCGATTTAGAGGATTCAAATATCTTATTTATTACCTTCGCTAATAATACCTCCTTCGACCCTGAAACTAAGTAGGAAATACCTACTAACAACGGTATCTTTACTCTCCCTCTCCAACCTACGTTTAATACTATCTACTTCGAAATTATTAAAATATACCGCTATTACCGCTTTAACATTACTAGCTAGCGTAATTATATATACAATAAACTAAGAACCTAGATTTAGAGGGTAAATAGTAGAAGGTAATACTGCGTTGTAACTATATTGAATTACAAAAATACCCTAATAATAACCCTTATAAGAAGTAGTATACTATATTATAAAAGATCTTACACAGTTGCCCCTTCCGGATTATAGTCTTGAATTTTAAAAATAATAGCTATAAGTAGACTATTAGAGTAATAGATTATACCTATCGAGGGTACCTTCATTCCTAAGATCTATTTATATACCTTATATTTCGAATGCGAAGTACTAATATAAATATATAGGATGCTATTACGGATCTATTTAACTAATAGGACTTAATAGTCCATTCTATTTATACTATTATTTACTAACGCTACCCCAAGCTCCATCTTACGTTCAAAGATCTCGATAATATACAATAAACGTTACATTCCAATAATAAGGATAGCTATACGGATACCCAAACCTTTGTTAAGAAATTTGATAGTAATTAATTAATTATTCTAAAATATACCGACTTTAATTACTATAGGAATAAGGAGGATAGGAAGAATAGGACTGTACTACGGCACGCTCTATAGTTAATACGCACCTAAAAGAGGATGTAGGTATAATACCCTTATATTCTTTTACTTAATGTAATGTATAAGACTAACTATTACTATGCCCCTTTAGTATAAGGAGTAGTGTTTACCCTTGAAAAGACCTTAATACTAATCTTTTAGATAATTATTAATAACGAGAGGGAGGAAGGATTTATGTAGCTAGTTAATAAGATCGATGAGGTAATTAAAGAATTGGGTATTATACCGCCAAAAGTTATTATTACCAATAGAGATACTTAATTAATTATAGTAATTAATTATATTTTTTTTAGATATTTAGAGATAGCGTTATATATAGTATATTAATTATAATATTATTAATTACCTTAAGAAAGATTGGGTACGCTTGCCTCCTAGTAATAGGGATGAGGGGGGGGAGGAGGAGGTTACTATACTACGAGAGGAGGAGGATAATAAAGGGTTTGATAAAGAGGAGTTTAGTAGCGATAACCCTAGTACGCCGTCGTTACAGTCTTTTAGTAACGAGGCGGCGGTATAGTAATTGTATAATGAGGCCATCACTTAGTAAGAGAAGGAAGATCTCGACCAATTACACCGTTTATACTGGAAGGTTAAGATAGTAAAGAGAATTTAGGCTAACTTAGGCCTATTGCCCTAGAAGGTAGTCAATACCAAATTAGAGTTATTTTATTTATAGTAATATATAATCTATATTACTATTGTACCGGACTTTAAAATTATTTGGTTCTTCCTTTATTGTTAGTTTGAAGGGTCCTAGCAAACTATTATCAAATAAAGCTAATTGAGTCTAATACTTTATAAGACCAAGTAGGTAGGATATTATATAAGGAATTATTTTAATTATAACTAACGTACTACATCGCTAAATAAACCCAATAATAATTCTTTATAATTATATAATCTCTTTATACGTAGCGGTCTTATTAATTTTTATAATATTTATACCGTTCTATAACTACTTAATACGCGCGCTTTAAGGAGAAGTTCAATACCTTTACTTTCTATATACGGGTTAAATAAGTAGGTAGTAAATAAATAGGCATAACCCTATTAGAATTAATTATTTAGGGGTTAAATATAATTGAACAATAATATTAGAAATTTGATATAAGCCTCCCTACTACTGAACACCTATTTAATACCCTTCTAGGACCCTATATCAATACTTTACATACTTAATATAGCCTTACTTATATATACGAAATAGAGAAAGTCTTTAATAAGGATAGGGAGGGTAGTATTCTAGTAAATAAGGAGGATATTTACCTATTTTAGTATTTCCGCTAGCGTTATATAAACTTATGCTTTCCCTATTTAACCCCCGTTATTTCTTTATACTAATATATATTATAGGATATAATAGATAGATATTTACGACTTTATTTAATAATTAAAGGAATCCCTAAAAGTCGCCCTCCCAAATAGCATAGCCCGTTTAATAACGAAGCCATCCTACTAACACCTCTAATACCGCTAGTACTTCGTAGTAAATTTAGGAATATTTATAATTAGGGCATTAATATAGTACAATTATTTTTAATACGAGTTAGAACCTAGTATTAAGGATATAAATGCCCGTAATATTCGTAATGGAAGTAAAGCGTATAATTATATTAAGGTAATGGATAACGATAATAAGGAAGAGGATGAGGAGTTGACGAAATATTAGGTAGAGAGAGTTTGAACGGTATAGTAAAAAGAGAAGGAGAAGGAGGCTATAAGTGAAGCGCTTATTGAAGTATCCTTATTGGCTTTATTTAATAAGCTGTCTGAATTATTAGGTTGATTGTTTGGAGGGGGGAAGGGCGGTAATATATATAAATAAAAAGTAGGATTTAAAAGACCTAAACTTCCAATCCGGGAAAGACTAGGCCGCAATAACATTTAAAAGCCGGAGGGACCTAACGACCGTCTATTCCATCTACTCTCCTATTCTAATATAAGGAACGTTAAAATATTAATAAGGGTCGCCGCTTTTTAAATTCTTCGAAACCGGCCCCCCGGCGGAAAACCAAATTATAATCGGGGACTTCAACCTCTACTATCCCGATTGAAATTTAAAGAATAGGATTAGCCTAGGGGTTACTCGCCTCCTTACGTAGGTATAATATTAGAAATTCAATTTATTTACCCCCTATAGCGAACTAACGAAATTCGGAAATATAATATAAGGAGAAAGGAATAGAATAATTAATTATATATAACTATCACCCGAGGTTAAAACCGAATATTAAGGAACGTAGTAATACGAATAAACTAGTTCGGACTACTACCTTTAAGAAGTTTAAATTTAATTAGGAAGAAGGAATAGAAAAGTAGAAAAAGAAGAAGGATATAATTAGAATTTTATAAATATAATAAAGGTAAAAGAGGCGGCGGAGAAACGGATTTTAATTCTAAAAAGAATTAATATAATAAAAAATATTGAACTTGCTTTTTATAAATTTAATAGGGAACTTATAAATATTACGGAGGAATTCATCCTATATTAAAAGAAAGGTCGAAGGAAAAAAGTAAATTAGTAAATATTAGAATATAAAATGGCGATGAAGGAAGTGCGGCGGATATATCAAATTTAGTTCGGATACCGGATAATATTAAATTAAAAAAATTTTATTAAAATTATAATGAGGAAGAAGAAGATAATAACGAAAGTATAGCGGGCTATATAGTACGAAGGCGTTATAAAAATTTTAAAGAACCTAAATCGATTTTGGTTACTAGAAAGGTAGGCCCGGACTTAAAATTATTAATTAATAGATCCGTTTAAATTACTAGCCTTTTAAATTTATAAAGGGGTAGTAAAAATTGGAAATTATAATAGTAAGGCCGAAATTTTTATTGATTGCTTTTTCTTAAAAGTAAATATCCCTACGGACTATCTACTAAATTAAATTAAATTATTAAAAAGTGCTAACCTAATAACTATTAGCGAATTAGTTACCGAAGAGGATATTTAAAACGTACTTTCCTAAATAGTATTTAATAAAACTCTTAGAATTAATTAATATTTAAACAAATTCTTAAAATTATATAAATAACTATTTTAATAAATTATAGCGTATTTCGTATTTATTAGCCTCCGATTTAAGTATTTCCTATAGCGGTTTAAAGATATAAAAGTAATTATCCTCAAAAAATTTAAAAAAAGCATTGCCTAATAAAAGCTAGTAAGTGTATAAAAGCCTATATCGCTATTTAATAATATTAGAAAAATCTTCGAAATATTTATAATTAAGAGAGTAATATAGGTAGCTAAGGAGTTTAATTTCTTACTAGAGGGTTGAATAGGTAACCGGGCAAGCCGTTTAATAGAATTTATAATCCGGGTAATTATTAATATAATATATATAGTTTAAAAATTCGGGGCTATAATATCCTTTATACTCCTCGATTTAAAGAAAGCGTTCAATGAAATTAATTATAAATAATTACTATATACCCTATAGGAAATATAATTCCTAATATAAATTATTAAATAAATAATTAATTTTATTATTAATAGAAAAGGTTCCCTTTTCTTCGACGAAGAAATATCCCGCCCTTACACTATTATTATAAGAATACTTTAAAATTTCCCCCTTTCCCTTATTTTATTTATTCTTTTTATTACACTACTATACCGAAAATTAATTATAATCCTAAATACAATTATAATTAGTTTTATAGATAATATTAGTATTATTATAATAATATATACTATAAAAAAGAATTACCGAACTTTATAGGTAGTATAGGAAATATATTCGGAATAAATAGGAGTAAGAGGTATAGAATTCGAAGCGAATAAAACGGAAATAATATATTTTATATAAATAAAGGTATTAAAAACGAAAACTCTCTAATTTAAGGATGTAATAGTTTAATTAATAGAATTTACGAAATTCCTAGTGGTTTAATTAAATTATAAATTTAATTATAGAATTTATATAGATTTAGTAAAATAAAAAATAAAAATTTAAATAAATATATTTATAAGATTAGCGGCGAAGATATAG